AAAAAATAAAAATAATTTTCAAAGCCAAGACTTACTTTATGCCTAAAAAACTAAAACTGGTAAGTTTGGATAAGTTTTTTACAAGACACATTGTAGGTATACAAGAAACGCTCATTCCTTCCCTGATTTCTCTTCTTTTAAGCAATCTGTAAGCCATGACAACATTCAAATTTCTGGTGTCACTCTTAGTATGGTTAGATTGTGCTTTTACACAATGTGAGGAAAGTGGAATGAACTTGGACTTTGAAGACAAACAGACCTCAATCAAAACCTGTTTCTGTTTACAAGGATAACCTCTTGGGCTGCCTACTACAGAGCTCCTCCTCTAAAATGAGGTCATCCCACAGCCCCTTTCCCAGCCTAATTCACAACACTGTACATCCTGAAAGAGGGAGCTCTCTCCCTCCCCTCCTCATCTCTCTGTTTTGTTTTTGTTTGTTTGGGATCCATCCTCAGTTCCTCCCTCTGGTCTCTCTCCCTTTTCTCCCTTCCTTTTGAGATCAAATTGAAGACCATCCTGGCTTAGTACCCCTGTGCTGGAGTTACAGGCATGTGCCACCATACTCTGTGAGATCTTTTTCCTTGCAAAGCTTGGGACCAGAGGGAAGTGGGCCCAGTATGGCCCAAATCAGCAATCTTGCCAGCACACTGTTGGAGGAGCAACAGCGTTTTGGACTAGTAAGGGTTCAGAGTTCTGGGCTGCTCTTTGGGAAGCTGCTACCCCTTACTCAGGTTGTAGGAAGGAATACATAGAAAACTAAACTATCAGTAATAATTAAAGTGTAAATTGTGTATTTTATAAAATTATATAAATTATAGATTGCATAAAAGTATCAGTATACAAATTATATATTTTAATTGAGTATAATTAAACAATGAATACTTTCTTAGTCTCACCTCCTTGTCCAGATCAAAGACAGAGCAGCCTGCTCACCTGGTGCCCACCCCTCACACATACACACACATACCCCAGCCACTTCCCTGAAGGCTGAGTGAAGTCACTGCCAATAAAATAATGCTAACCAGTCTATGTTCAGCTCTCCTCAACTCATCATCTGATTACCTCAGAAATCTTTGCAAACATGGAAGGAAACACACCTATGGAGTATGAGTACATTTTCACACACACAGACCAAACATTCTCAATTTGGCACTAGCTACTGATTTTCTTACTGGCTAGATAATTGTTATGGGGCTCTTTGATAAATCACTTTTAGTGAATTGAACTTTCTTTCTAAGGTGCCCACTACATTTAAGTCTGAACACTAAGTGACAGGAGTTTTGGTGTACAAAGAAATCACTTAAGGAAGTACAATTATGCAATGGCAGAGATTTTTGCTTGAGGAATAGCTCTCATTCAGTCAAAATTGCTCAATATTCACACTTGCCACAGACATAATGATGATTCAGCTTTTTGGCCATTACTGCCTAGGTCAGATATTTGGTATTATCTATTCTAATACAACATTTACTTGTATTTATGAATTTAAGTATGTAAAATGGCTTGATTAGCATGCAGATGCCCTTAGGTAAAGGAGAAAGAGAGGAGAGAGTTGGGAGGGAAGGAGAAAAGGGAATAAATGAGAATGAGATTGAGAATGAGAATGAAGGAGAAGATAAAAGAAAGAAATGGGGGTAGAGGGAGATAAGGAATCTTGCAAAAGGGCAAATACCTGGCTTAAAGACCTTACTTATTCTGCTTGACTCTTAGCTTACCCTTAGCTTATACAATAGTATAAACTATTGTGCAACAGTTTCATTTTTTTTGTTTTGGGTTTTATTTTTAAACGCAAAGCCTCGCAACTTAGAATGGCTAATTTGGAACAAATTCTAAAAATTGGATAAAAGAAACCAATTCCCATTAAGAGATTTATCTTCTTTCCAGTTCATTTCTTCCCATCTTTTTGGCCCCACAGCTATTATTAAAACCATCTTTTACCCTCCTGTCTCTTCAACCCTCAGTGCTAGGCAGGATCCTACTGCAGTAAGACCTGCTTTGTTTAAACAGGAGACAACTAAAACAAGATCAGCCACATGGTGACCCCAGAGCTGGACAATGTTCACATGAAGTGTCATTCCACTGTTCCACTGTGTTCTCTACTTTTGCTACTGAAAAATGTCCATGAAAACCATACTTGAGAGAGAACAGTGGTCTACTGCACTCAGCCTTCACTCCCAACAGCCATCCTGCCCTCAAGCTCTTCCTTCCTGTCACTGGGGAAGCAGTGATGCCCTTTTGGGAGATCATCACTTACCCATCCCCATGTCCCCCGAGATAGCTTGCTTCTAAAACATCCATTTTTGCTCCTAATTCTTGCCAGGCATCCTATAACCCCTCAAGCTTCTACTTCTTAAAAAAGAAAAAAGGTACCCTGTATTCATAAACTGCTTTGTTACATGGAAACTCCTTCAGAAAACTACTTCAAAGTAATTCTTTGAAGGGAAAAAAGTGGAGGGAAGGAGAGAGACTGTGTGTCCCCGAAGTGAGGCCTGAACTCAGACCCTTGAGCTCTCCCGTGGCTTTTTCACCCGAAGCTGCAAACTCTGCCGTTTGAGCCATAGCTCCACTTCCAGTTTTTTGCTGATTAAGTGGAGAGTCCTTCAGACTTAACTGCCCAAGCTGGCTTTGAACCTCAATCCTCAGACCGTAGAGGGTTCCAGGCGTACGAACACTGGCGCCCGGATGTGGACCTTTGTCACTACGTGCAAAGAAGTGCGTTCGTGTTTTCACAACTCCGTATAAATAAGCCCTGAGTGTGACGGCACAGGCTTGTCAGCTCAAGAGCGCGGAACGCCGAAGCAGGTCCAGAAAAACCACCGCCAGAACTACATGCAAACCCAGAAAAACCACCGCCAGAACTACATGCAAACCCAGACTCGGTTTCAGAAACACGTGCTTTTCTGGAAGCGGCAACGGCGCTTCTCGGCGTCGGAGTCACGACGCAGGCGGGTCTGCAGTTCCCAGCTCGCTGGGGCAGGGCCCGAGGCGCCCGGTCAGCCCGGCGGGTGCGGGGGACACCCGGTCAGCCTGGCGGCCCTGCCCGGCGGGTGCGGGGGACACCCGGTCAGCCCCGCGGCCCTGCCCGGCGGGTGCGGGGCACATCCGGTCAGCCCGGCGGGTGCGGGGGACACCCGGTCAGCCCCGCGGCCCTGCCCGGCAGGTGCGGGGGACACCCGGTCAGCCCCGCGGCCCTGCCCGGCAGGTGCGGGGGACACCCGGTCAGCCTGGCGGCCCTGCCCGGCAGGTGCGGGGGACACCCGGTCAGCCCCGCGGCCCTGCCCGGCGGGTGCGGGGGACACCCAGTCAGCCCCGCGGCCCTGCCCGGCAGGTGCGGGGGACACCCGGTCAGCCTGGCGGCCCTGCCCGGCAGGTGCGGGGCACGCTCCGGGTGCAGGCCCCCCTCCGCCCGGGCCCGGTCCGCGCGCGTCGGGGCCGGCGGGGCCGAGGGCGCCGGGGGCCCCGGCCGGCTGCCGCCCGCTGGACCGGGCCTCCCGGGCAGGGGCTCGGCCACCGAGCCCGGCGACTGGGCTGACGATGGTTCCGGGGAGCCCCGCGCCCGGCGTTACCAGAGGGGCCAGACGGGCTGGGCCGCCCGGGCAGGGGCGCACGCGGCGCGGGCGGGCGGGAGGGCGAGGGCCCGGCGGGGGCGCGGGACCGACGGACCCCCGAGGGCGGAGGGCGGAGGCCCGGGGGCGGAGGGCGGAGGCCCGAGGGCGGAGGGCGGAGGCCCGGGGGCGGAGCGCACGTCGTGCCGAGTCACGCTGAGACGGCACGGCGGGGTCCGGGAGCGCGGGGTCCGGGCAGAGGCGGCGCCGCCTCCCGCCCCGGGGCGCCTCGGGAGCGGCTGCGCGGGCGCGGGCACCCGCCGCCCCGGTGGACCCCGGCGCACGCCGTGCTGAGTCACGGTGAGCCGGCGCGGCGGCGGGAGGCGGCACCGCCCGTCACGTGACGGGGGCCGGACCACAACAACGGCGCGGCGAGCGGCGCCCGGCTCGCGCCGCTCCCTCCCGCCAGCCCCTCGGAGCATGCGCAGCTCGGCCGCGCCGCGCGCGCGTCCCCCGCCCCGCTCCGACGCCGGGTTTTCCGGGCGGCTTGGGGGCGGGACTTGCGCGCGGCCTGGGCGCGGCCGGCGCGGGCCGAGCCGCTGGGTCCGGCGGGCGCAGGTGCCGCGCGAGCGAGGGGGAGCGCCCGCCCCGCTCTTTGGACTGGGACGAAGCGGGTCGACGTTCAACGCGCATCCTAGGAAGCTAGCAAAACCTGAGCGGACCGGCGGGGCTGGGGAAGACGGAGGGGCGGCCTCGACCGAGGTGCGTGGCACTCATGCACGGCCGTGTCGAACCGTAACCCTCCGCACAACCCACAAAGGTAGAAGGGCACCGCGACTGAGAGCTTCCGGCAGCACCTTGGCTCCCCCGGAGGCCGGCCCCGCCTGCCCCGCCTGCCCCGCCCACCGCCGCCGCCGCGCCACGCCCGCCGCCGCCGCGCCACGCCCGCCGCCGCCGCGCCACGCCCGCCGCCGCCGCGCCACGCCCGCCGCCGCCGCGCCACGCCCACCTCCTCTAGCCTCGCCCCCTCCAGCCTGGCCCCAATTGCACGTGCGCGCGCTCCTGCGCCGCCCTTTCCCAGCTGTCGGCCACGCCCCCATCGCCACGCCCCCTCCGCGGTCTATAAAACCCGGAGCGCGGTCTGTCCCTCCTCCGGAGCGGCGAGCGGCGGACGCGGGTACTGGGCATGCTCCGTGGCGGCGCAGGTCTCGGTCCCAAGTAGGAAGCCCGTGCACGACACCGGCGCCGAGGAGGAGCGGGAGCCGCCGCTTGGCTTCGGGGCGAGAGCCGCACCCACTTCTCCCTCGCCTCGTCCCCGGGGCGGCGGGGACCACCCACCGGGAGCCGGAACGGCCGGACGGGGCCCCCTCCTCCGGGGCCCCCTCCTCCGCCGCCGCCGGCCGCGGCCCGAGGGCGTCCCCGGGGAGGAGCGGCCCGCGTCCGGCCCGCGCCCGCCCGCGGCCCCGAGCGGAGGGCCGGGCGGCCATGGGGCTGCTGGCCCAGGGGTCGCCGCTCAGCTGGGAGGACACCAAGCGCCACGCCGACCACGTGCGGCGGCACGGGATCCTGCAGTTCCTGCACATCTACCACGCCGTGAAGGACCGGCACAAGGACGTGCTCAAGTGGGGCGACGAGGTGAGCGCGGGCCGCCCGGACCCCGGACCCCGGCCCCGCCCGGGGGCTGGCTCCGTGTCCGGGCCTCTCATCTTGGGGGGCGGGGGCCCGGGGAGGGCGTGAGCCCGGCGCGCCCGGCACCAGTGCAGTTAGAGCCTCTGCTGATCGGGGGCCCCGGACCCCGAGACCTGCCGGCCCCGCGGCGCCTTCCCGAACCTCTCCAACTTCTCCCCCACGCTTCCCGCACGGAGCGGGTGGCTGACCAGGGTTCTCACCGCGAGCGGGTTTCCCTGGAGCGGGCAGGAGCCTGGCTCTGCGTCCTGAAGCTCTGGTTTACTGGAATCACCTCCTTCTTGCCAAAGGTTTTTGTCCACCTTCCTATTTTGTTTTGTCTTTTAATTCATATGCAGTACGTAAAAATTAATGGCTTCTCGAGATGGCCGGTCTGAGTTGAGGGTGAGGGCATTTGTCCGAGGTGGTTCACCTCCTCTGATTGTCTCTGGGACCAACTTCTCCCTCTTGGCCTAAGTTTCAACCGTGGATGTGCTACCAGCTCAGAAATACCTTCCCACAGAACAGAATAGGTGGATAGTCCGGCCTCCTGCAGCTGGGGGAAGGAACTTTTCCACATCCGAGAAGTGTAGTAATAGTAACTTGATGTGTCTGCAGAAATAGTCTTATCATATTTTGGACCGAAAAGGAACGGACAGCAGCTGTGTATGGTGAGAGTTCTTCAGTTTTAAGTTCATTGTCCTTTACACCTTCTTTGGTATATTACGGGTCACTCACAGGAGAGTGTCAACCCAAGAGGAGCAGGGTTGATTATTTCCTGCCCTGGGGCCTAAGCCTTGTGCTAGGTACGGCTGGCATCAGGTAATTGTGGAATTACAGTAAGAAGACTAGCCATTCTTGAGCAACTACAAGTTAAAGTTTCCTTTGTGCCACTTTCCACATTTAAGGAGAACCAAGTGGTCAATCATCATGCCAGATAGAATATCATGAACGTGAAACTTTTGAACACCCCTTCTACTTAGTCTCCCTGCTTTAAAAACCATTCCTTCCATGGGCAAGAAAAGCATTTAGACCTACCTGTTTTCAGTGACTTGAAAGTGTTGAGTTAAAGTAAGATGAGCTGAAATAGGGCCTTGAAACATAGTATGGAGGATTTCACTTTGACAGCTTTCGTCTAGAGAAGGCTTGCTTCTCCTCCCCAAATTTAAGGGGAGTAGAAAAGAGTGGCAAATACAGTGTTTGTATTCTGCTTCTGTAAGGGGGAGAAAACTGAGCCTAGCCTTCTAGCCACCTTAAAAAGATAATGTCCTGAAATGAGATGTCAGGTATCAAAGATAACATTGGGAAGTTGGACTTGTAATACTCTAGTAAGGTTTCCTGCTATTACACTAAAACATGCCAAAGCTGTTCTCTAAAAGCATGGTGACTGTTTAAATTGCATCTCCAGGTTTCTCGCTCCAAGTTTTCTGTCATAAGTGAAATATGAAACTATCAGTTGATGTTTTGCTGCCTTCCAGTGATGGGAGTCCAGCTGGAAGTCGGCCGCCTGGCGGAGGATGAATTAAGATTGTGGAATTTTCAGATGGATGGGGAAATGGCACTTTGGCTGCGCCTTGGTCTCCTCCCCCTTCATTCTCCCCCCTGGACTTACACCACAGTGGTACTTGTATGTGCCAAGCCTCTATTCCTCAGTGTGACTCAAGTTGTCATCCCACAAAGAGGCACCATTTTCCAATCTGCAAGCCATGACACATTAGTAAGTTGATAAACAGATTCAGAAAACTCCAACCCACATCTCTGGGCTTTTGTTGTTGATGTTGTTCTTAAAAAGATTGCCTACAGAGGGGTTACAGTTACATAAGTGAGGTAGAGTGCATTGCTTTTTGGACAATGCCACCCCTTTCCTTGCTCTCTCCAAGTTTTTCCCTCCTATCCTCACCCTCAAGTTGTATAGTTCATTTTCAGCATGGTGTCTAGTGAGTACCACTGCTTAATTTGTTTACCCTTTGTCCTTGTATTTCTGTGCCCCCCCCCCCTTAGACATATAAAAACCCCATAGACAAATAAAGGGACAAGATGAAAACAAAAACAAGGAAGGAAAAAAACTTACTTTTTCTTTGGCAGTACTGAATTCTCTTTTATCTGTTCTATGAGTGGACACGTAGGGTGTTTCCACATCGTGGCTGTTGTCAGTAGTGCCACAGTGAACAGTGGCATGCTATGTCTATATTAAATACAGAATGAAACATGCATGATAAATTGGTCTTCGCTACACATAGTAAGACAGTTGCAATAGAATTTTGCATTGAGTGTGTGTGAAAAGGGATGTGTGGCAAGTCATTTGTGGTTCACAGTTAAAGTTGTGCATGAAAGCCAGGCTTAGCTTTGTCATAGAAGGCTTCCTTGAGGAGAGCCTCGTGCAGAGGAGCCCGGCGTCAGACTAGGTCTTGCACATTGTTGGGACTCGCTGTTGCACACACCGAGTGCTGGTGGCAGAGGCAGAAGCATCAGCCAGCAGTGCAGGTGTCTGTGGGGAGCCCGGGAAATAGGAGGAACTGCTGGGTAGATAAAAGCAGGGAAGGCGTGGTAAGTGGTATGCTCCCGGGAGATGATGGCGCTGCCACACGCAGTGGTGTCTGACATGCGATACGAAGCAGAGCAGGTTTCAGACCAAATTCTGCTTCTCCTGATTCGACAATGCACCCCTAGGGCTGTGGTTTAAAAACACGCACCCAGTGGTCATTGGTGTGGTTGGAAGGAAGTCTGTCACTGGGGAAATAGTCAGACCTGTCTACTAGGGACCACAAAGAACCATGTGTTTGGGTTCTAGTCCAAAGTCAAACTGCCTAGTGACCTTGAACTTGCATTTCCTCATTTGGAAAACTAAAGGGCTGGACTGAGCTTGAGTTGCATTTGGGTAAAATTTTTAATAAAAGTATATGTCTCAAAGCAGAGTATACTGACCTTTCTAAGTTGATGTGGAGATGTAAGCTAGTTCTTGGGAACTCAAAAGTATCTTCCTGTAAGCACCTTATAAATGAGTTGGTTCCCAGATCCACCTAGATGCCTGGTTGGCTGCTAGCATGGCAGGTTTGGACACCATGGTGGCAGAAATGAGGGAATGTTCTTGGATACCATGTGGTGTGTACAGCCCACCAAATGATAAGGAAAAGCATACTTCTGCATAGCACACACACAGCTTTCAGATAAAGGTCTTGTTTACTGGAACAACCCTGAGTTGTGTTTTGGGATGTCCTTTCAGGAGCTGCTTTTACAGTATACTAGTGTAGAATACTAGGTCCATAGACATGCATTCAGTGCATTACCCCACATTATGCTTTGTTCTCTCTCATTAGTGAGGACACACTTGGCCTGGCGTCAAATATCGATGGACTGCCGAGGAGAGATACCTCAGATCTCGGGGTCTTTGTTTTGCTTTTGAGGCTGAGTCTCACTAGATAGATAGCCTGGGCTGGCCTCAAACTCAGCCTCCTGCATTAACTGGCTTAGCCAAGTTTTCTAGATTATGTTCTTTGCCCCTATGTTATTAATGTTTATCACTGGTGTCACTTTCTGTTCTGTGACTTGAGTATGTTGAAAGTTTGCTTATATTTTATGAAAGCCCTTCTCTCAGAAGTTCTGTGATCTGAGACACAAAGTTTGGACTACATTCTCATGTATAAGACTGATTTTTAAAAAGAAGTGGGTGAGGGGGGAGGAAAGGGGAACACAATTTGCCAAGCGTTGATGGCTCCCACCTGTAACTCTAGCTGCTCTGTAGGCTGAGATCTGGGATCTGTTTGAGGCCAGCCCCAGGCAGAAAAGTTTCCATGGCCAGAAGAGTGGCTCAGGTGGTGGAATGCAGCCTTTCACGCGCAGGATCCTGAGTTCAAACCCCAATGCTGCAAAGACAAAAGCCCCTAATTTGGCTTCCAATTATGTGCTTGCAGATATATTATCTAGAGAATTTTATAGTTTTGTTCTTTAACTGTTTTTTCAGTACTAGATATTACACTCAAGGCCTTATTGCTAGGCAAGCGCTTTTCACAATTTTAGCTGTTTCAGAGTGCTCTAAATTCCATTTAGTTTAGGAACGTCAGGATATGCATATGAGAAATGTTAGGATTTGTTTCTCTACCCCGTTACCTGTGGAGTTTCAGCATTCTCCTGAAACAGCATGCTCCAGTGGCTTCTGGAACGGTAATCCCACTGTACAGCCGTATGTGGTAGATTTCAGAAATGTTGTCTTTGGCTTCCTACATAAACCTTTTTGAGCTTTACAGCTTCTCTATAACAAGATAAGATTCCTCATTGTTTACTTCAGAAAAACTGAAACTTAAGTTTCACTTGCATGTGGCAAAACATGAAAAGCTTTATTTCCGTAGTGGAGTATAGCACTTTGCCATTAGGAGGCCTCTACTGCGTGCAACCTGTATATGGCAATGTGAAACTGATGAGAGAGGGAGGAGAAAGGAAAGAAGCTCTCTGTTCTTGAAGAATTCAGTGGGTAGAGAAAGTGGAGACCCCAGAGTGGTAAAAAGAGTCCACTTCCTGAGGCAGGTGGGACTCTGGTAAGATCTTAAAGGAAGGTAGAGAAGGCAAGGGCTTGTACACAGGAGGCACTGCAGGTGCCTGAAGCTGAGGGGTTGTGGTGACTGTGGCTTTGGCGTTTGGGAAAGCAAGAATCGGACTGGCTAGAGAATAAGGCTTGGAAGGCCAACAGAGTCCAGTGTTTAAGGAACTTTCTAGTAGGCCTGTGAGAGGTGGTGTTGGGACAAGGGTCTTTATGGCAGATCATTTTGGTAGTGATATAAAAAATGGAGCAAGTGGGGTCACTACAGACAGATTCCGCACTGCACGATATAGTTTAGGCTTGGAGTGTAAAACAGGGTCAGCCAAGCCCCAGGATGTAGGACTGTGGGATTGCGGGTGCTTGGTAGTAGATATGCTCTATCTTCCCCAGGTTCTAGCACAGAGGACTGTGTGAGTAAGCACCCTGTCAGGGGATG